ATATTATATATTATATAAAATATTATATATTATATAAAATAATATATAAATATATAATGTAAAAAGCCATGTTATTTTTGCTAAATAATAAGTTAACAGATGGCGCCTCATAATTACCAATCACTATGCAGTCATTACCAATCACTATGCAGTACTTACCAATCACTATGCAGTACTTTCAAAACACTATGCAGTACTTACCAAACACTATGCAGTACTTACCAAACACTATGCAGTACTTATCAATTACAATTCAGTAGAATATGCGCAAATTTATACCGCCACCTATAGACAACATTGAATATCACGTGAAGTTTAGTAGACGGCTGTAAAAGCAAGTCTATTCAAACAGTTATTATTTACTCAGTGTAATACACATATGCTTTTAGAGTTGCTTTTGTTTCTCACCACTCAACTTACTTACCACACTCACTAGGCCCAGGCTAATAGATAGTCCACATGCTTGATTTTTACGAATAATATATGTTTTGTAATATGTCTTATCATAAGGTCTATTACAAGGGCAGACGTTAGGCCTATAAATTAATTTTAACAAGATTAAATTTAGTATTTTAAAATGTGACAAAATTAGACCTTTCTAGTAGTATGCCTAAAACTGTATGCTTTAATACTACTAATAGGCCTAACCTAATTTAGTTAACTACAAATAAATAACTCCCATCTTTATTAATTTTCAAAATTATCTCTAATTAAAGTTGGTTTACATTTTCTAAAATTAATCAATCAAATGCTTACGGTAACACAGCATATAGTTCTTTAGGGCCTATTGAGCTAAACACAGTATGTTACTGCTGCCGCCAAGCAATTATTTCAATAACACATAAAATAAAGTACTCAAGTATGCAAACCTTTAAAATATTGTATTTAATATAATTGTTTAATATAATAATTGTATTGATTGATAGAAATGAGTCAGCTCTAACTAGCAAAATACTGGAGTAATGATATTTTATGTGTTATTAAATAGTTGCTTGGCGGCTGCGGCAACATACCGTATATAGCTCAATAGGCTCTAAAGAACTACCGGTACTGTAATAAATCTGCTAATATTTTTTTTTCTTTCTGTTCTTTATTAAACTAAAACATGCTGTGGTACCGTAATCACATTATTCCTGTATGCAAACTTGAAAATATTGTATTTAATACAGTCAGTCACGAGGGTAGATGGCTTGCATGAATCACATGCCTCGCTCACTCACATTTTGTCACGACCCAGTATGCTTACTTTGTATTTGTGTTATTATGTTTTTGTCAATACAATCTAAATGTGTACCACTTTCAAAAACAAGTTAAAGCATATATCACTGTACTCTCTTCATACAGATCATCCCCTGCGTACTTTATCAATGTTCGTTTGTCACACCGTCATGACCAATTGCACATCCATTTCGCACCGCGGCACACGTTTAGCTCCTTTACTTCAGATACAGTTATTAGTTTATCTAATGTTCCATTTTGCGTAATCTGCTCAAGAGACCATTTCCTTTTTTGTCATCAGACGCTAACTGTACCTTAATCTTTTTTTTTTTCTAGTTTTCGAGTGTTCCGACAGCTTCTGACATGTTTCTAACACCATCTGTTGCGTTTATTAGATTTTAGAAGTTCGTCTGCTTTTAAGTCATTGAGTTTCTTCAAGCGTTTTAAAATCTGATATTAACAAAATACCAGAATTTTTTTTACATTATTTTGACATTTCTTTCACTGAAAGTTCATTTATGAATTCATAATAAGACTTCCTTGTTCTTGATATAATTCTTCTATGTACAAGTATCAGATTGAAGTAAAACAATGATCTACAATGTGCCCAAATAATAATAATAATAATAATAAT